CAAGGCCATTAAGCGCAAGGAATTCTTGGAGAGTCTCAAGGACGACCTACCCAAGTGCTTCAAGAGGCCGAAGGACACACTCAGGACCGACCTCTACTTGGACAACTATTTTGAGATCAACGACGGCGATTCGCATTCGACCATCCGACTCCGGGAGGTGATGCTCACCGGAAAGGCCGCTGCCAAGGAGATCAGGTACGACAAGCTCTCCGCCAAGGACAAGAAGCTCATGGACATGGCCATGGAGGTTGAGTGGTCCAAGTGGACCGAGTTCGGGGCCTACAAGAAGCTACCGCCCAAGGAGTTGAAGGAGATCTTCCAGCGACACCCTGGAATACGACCAGTTGGTACCCGCTGGGTGCTCACGCAGAAGGCTGCCAACCTCATGAAGGCCCGCCTTGTCGTCCAGGGCTGTCAAGAGGACAAGTCCCAAATCCGTACGGACGCGCCGACCGGGTCAAGGGACGCGCTTTACCTCACTCTTGCTGCCGCCGCCCAGCTTGGCTGGGACCTCACGTCGTACGACGCGATGACGGCTTACCTGCAGTCGGGCAACATCGAGAGGCTGCTATTGCTGCGCATGCCAGCCAAGAACCCGCCGCCGCGTACATCGCCCGGCGAGATCGTGATGGCGACTGGCGCCATCTACGGTACCCGGGATGCCGGACGCCAGTGGTACCTCTACGCTCAAAAGGTGTTCCAAGAGCACGGCCTCATCGAGAGCAAGCTCGAGAAGGGCCTTTACTACTTCTACGACGACAAAGGGCTCGCTGCTATGATTCACTCCCATGTGGATGATTTCCTCATCGCCCAGCGCGGAAGCTCCAGCGAGTGGAAGCGAGTTATTAGCTCCTTGCAGAAAAGGCTGCACCTCAAGAAGGTAGAGGGCATCATCAAGTACTGCGGCCGGACAATCAACAAGACCAACGAGGAGTTCCGCATTACCCAGGCGACGGCCGCCGCCCAAGTGGATTTCATCGAACTCAACGCCCAACGCGGACGATCACCAGAGGATCGTCTTGCCACCTCGGAGGTCTCAGGATATCGCCACACACTCGGCCAACTGCTTTGGCTCGCAGTACAGACGCGAGTGGACATCGCCTGCCCGGTGAGCCTTGCGGCTCGTCGCACCAACACCGCCACCGTGGCCGACGCCAAGACGCTGAACAAGACCGTCGCTTACGTGCACGGGTCCGCCGATTTCGCCATAGTCATCAAGCGCAATATCATTGACCTGCGCACTTGCACCATCGTCTGTTTCAGCGACGCGGCCTTCGCCAATGTGGACGGGGTGAAGAGCCAGTGGGGCATGGCGATCGGGCTAACCCACAAGCCACGGGACGTCGTGGCTGGACGATATGATTTGTGCTTGCCTGTGGCCTGGCATTCGGGCACGGTCAAGCGATCCGTGAAGTCTACGCTGGCCGCCGAGGGCTACGCCACTCTGGAGGGCGCCGAATCGAGCACGTGGTTCGGTCAGCTACTTACGGAGGCCTACAACCCGAAGAAGACGCTCAAGCAGATCGATGACCTCAGCACCAAACGATCCGGGGAGATCTACAGCGACAGCAACGGGTTGGTGACGCACATCAAGTCTGACGTGGGTCAATCCACGGACAAGCGGTTCCGCATCGTGGCATCAATGATTAAGGAGACGGTGCACCCCAACAGCCAGCTGAAGCTCTCGTGGATACCTACGTGGAGTATGGTCGCCGACGCGCTCACCAAGACCATGGAGACCGGAGTGCTCCTCGCTTTCTTCGGGGCCAAGAAGTACAATTTCGGCACCAGGCAACCGCACGCCGCCATGCTTGCCTCAGTACTGATGACATGTCTCGGACGCGTGAAGGCACAGCATCCCCCACAGGAATGGCAAGTGCCGATGTCACATTGGATCTACTACATGACACTAATTGCGATGCTTAGTGGGATCATGCTTGGATTTACATTATTCGCAGCGCTGTGGTTTGTGGTGCGAAAGGAGATATTTGGGCCAGGCGACCCCAATCCCATCCAGATCGGGACCATCAACAACACCAGCAGTGGGTCCAAGGCTGATCACTCCGGGCACGCGGACACCCCCTTGCCCGGAATATATCCAGGATGGGATGGACGATACCTCGGACGTCGTAACAATGTACCGACTACCATTCCCGAAGACGTCGACGGAGATGTCTATATGGAGCCGCCGATGATTGCCGTCGCAGCCCAGAGTTCATCATCAGCAAGCGGATCGGCAGCGCCAGCCGCACCGCCCCCATCACCGGACAGCTTCGCGCAGGGAGCCAGCTCGTCGCCATCATCCCCGATGACGGTTACCAGTTCCTCGTCAGCCAGCGTGGTTTCTTGGAACGGATCGACGCCAACGGTTCCGCCAGTAGAAATGAACGCATGTGTGGCCGCCGAGCACAACGTACGCGTGGGACACAACGCACACAGTGTCTACATCACCTGCAGGACGTGCAGGAAGCACGCTACATGGCTACGCAGGAATTATGTGACCCATGAGCCAGATTTCTCGAGGATGCATAATAGTCTGCGCTGGGATTTACAGAACAGATGGAGGCAGCTACAAGGACTGCCCGGCAAGGCGAAAGCTTAAAAGAAGATTTCGTGAGCACGCCATCGTTTTATGTTTGGCGCCACATCCTGTGGCAGATTATGTAAGTCCGCATTGCTCTGTTAAGCTCGTTTCATATTTGGCGCCACATCCTGTGGCAGATTACGACAGTCCGCACCGTTTTGTCAGTTCGTTTCTTTTACACCTGGAGCCACATAGTGTGGCAGATTGCGTAAATCCGAATTGTCTTACTAGTTTTTTTCATTTGGCGCCACACCCTGTGGCATACTACGCTAGTCCGCATTGTTCGAAGCTTCATTCAGTGTGCACAGATTTCCTTTTTATGTGGTGACGACCACACTATTGAGATTTTATCTTGATAAGACAGCGCTATTTGAGTTTTGTCGCATAGCGATCGGACTCGCGCCGCTGTTCGTTTTTGTGAATTTATGCCTTTCTTGCCGGTGCGTGTAGCAGCACCCGTTAAATGCCCCGGGGCAGCCGGATAGCATGCCGACAGGGCCGTTTGCCTGTGTTTGTTTTGAGAGCGCTCTGATTAATGAAGTGAGCTGCAATCAATGATTGCCGCTCGACGGCGCCGCGAGCGTCAATCAGGAGGAGTGTGATTCCCGCTCACTCCCTGTGCCCTTCCTGTATCCCCGCTCTATCCCTCACGCCCGCTCGTGCCGCTGCCGTTTTGTTTCGAACTAGGGCCCTTGGCCTTAGAGCTACGCAGAGAGTTTCGCCGCGCGATTCCTCGACAAACGATATCAGCGATATCCATATCACACAGCGGACACGTCTGGGATGCGACGAGTGGGGAGCTCTGCTGTTTGTGTGAGGGGAAAGATGGAGGATTACGAGGGTGACAATGGATGGAGGGATAGAGGAAGAGAGATGGGGGAGGCACGGGTGATGATGCAGTCAAGGCGCTGAACTCGGGAACAGTTCGGGCTCGGAAAGGGCTCGCTGTTCCTTGGGTCCTTCAGCGGTTGTTCCTCGAGCGCCCCTGGTGCCTCCAGGCGCTCGGGTGGGGAGGATCTGTGGGATTCGTTCCTCACTCAAGGGGCTTACGCCATCCCGCTGACCCCAGAAGAGGACATGTGCGGCTTCCGATGTGTGTGTGTGTGTTGTGTGTGTGTGTGTGTGTGTGTGTGCTGTTTGCGACTTCCCGTCTTGCTGCCTGCGTGTCATCGTTGCCGATTCGTCCTCCTCTTCCCCCGTGTCTGCAGCGGGGCTCTTGGTGGCCATTTGGAGTAGGGGGTCTGTTCCTTAGTAAGCAATCCTCGCGGTAGTAGTTTGACAGCGCATTTGTCTCCTTCCTTCTGCGGCGAACCCAGGGGGGAAGTGAGAGGGGGCAGGCCTTCCCAGAATGCGGCGGGACTTCTCAGAGGCCCTCGCGCCTTCTGAGAGGTCGTCTCCGCAGTTTGTGTTTCAAAGATGGGGTCCGGCCCTTATTGGATGCGGCCCGAAGGACGAGGCGCTTCGAACAACGTACATCCACCCTTGGATCCCTTCCTGTCCTTAGGTCCCCATCCCTCAGGACCCCATCTTTGAACCACCAACTCAGCAGGCGCGAGGGCTTCTGCGAAGCCCCGCCGCCTTGCGAGAAGGCCTGCCCCTCTCCTTCCCCCCTGGGCTCTCAGGCCGAAACTTGCCGATCTGCCTCCCGAGCGTTCCCGCGGCCCACCGACGAGGCCATCCGGGGCACTGGTGCCGCCCGCCAAGGCAGGCCCTCGTCGAGCCTCTCTGGCCGCCGGGCAGGGGCCTCGGACGGAGACCCTCAGGGGAGGCCGAGGGAGACAGCCCAGTTGCAGGGGACACGGGGCCCAAAATATAGTTACACCACCACCTCCCCCACCCCCTCCCCGTCCGAGGAGAGAGGATGGGGAAGAAGGGTGTGGAGGAGTCAGGGGGGAGGAGGACGAGGAGGATGAGGAGGAGGAGGAGGAGGAGGAGGAGGAGGAGGAGGAGGAGGAGGAGGAGGAGGAGGAGGAGGAGGAGGAGGAGGAGGAGGAGGAGGAGGAGGAGGAGGAGGAGAGAGGAGGAGGAGGAGGAGGGAGGAGGAGGAGAGGAGGAGGAGGAGGAGGAGGAGGAGGAGGAGGAGGAGGAGGAGGAGGAGGAGGAGGAGGAGGAGGAGGAGGAGGCGGAGGAGGAGGAGGAGGAGGAGGAGGAGGAGGAGGAGGAGGAGGGAGGAGGAGGAGGAATGGTCGTGGTTGGAGCATATTCCTGGGGCCGCAGGGGAAGAGGGAAGAGCCTGCATGCAGGTGGCCGCCCGCATGGCCGCCCGAGTGGCCGCCCTCGTGCCGCCGAGGGCGGCCGCGTCGGTGGGTCGCCGAAGGGGGCTGCCGAAGAGGGGCCCCCTGAATGGCCGCCGCGACCGACAGGCGACGACGACGACGCCGCCGCCGACGACAACGACGACGACGACGACCGGCAGGTGTGCGGGGCCATCCTGCCCACACTGTGTTGAGGCGGGCGTGTTTTCCGGTGCCGCGGCGGGGGCTCCTCGGGGGCGGACAGGGAGGGAGGGGACGGGAGGGAAGGGCGGGGGGAGGAGGGAAGAGGGGATGGAGGGAGCAGGAGGGCGGAGGGAGGAGGAGGGAGGAGTCGGAGGGGGGGGGAAGATCCGTAGCCATTTTGGCTCAAGTCCGTAGTGTTGGCTCAGGACAAAGTATTGTGGCAGGGGGATCGTGCGGCCCCAAGAGCTTTGGTGGTATTGTACTGCGGCTTGCCGCGCTGTTTTTATCGCTACGACGCTTCGTTCTCAAGCACCTAGTACGGCGAGTCGATCGTCCCTTCTCTGTATCATTCTCCTGCGCGCGTGTGGAAATGTGTCGAATGCGGGTGTTACCGGAACAACTGGCATTGGGCATGGTGCAAACATTATAACAATAATTGGAAGGCAAACGCGATCTCGTACCATAAGTGGCCTCCCCTTCCGATATGGCCCAAATTGGACAAAAGGCAAATGCGACGGAGAAGCGTTCTGAAGGGGGGAGGCCTTGCTAAGTCACCGTTCGCGAGCCTGGTGTGGGATGATAATGCACAGCAGTCCATGTCGATCACGGAGATTGAGCAGTAAATTGGCCTCCGCCGTAAGTCTGGGAATGAGGAGTTGGCCCGTAAGTGTGAACAGAAACTTGAGTCAAAAAAGAAGGCCGTGGCACCACAACATGCCGCTTCCCAGATCAAGGCTGGCAATGCTTTCAAGCAGGTTCAACACGTGGAGCGCCTTTTGGTTCAGCAGGTGGCCGCTCATGCCGAGGTATCGCAGTAGCTGGCCTATCATGTGGGCCAGATTTCCAAGCTTCAGGAATACATGCAGCCACACGAGGATGATTGCAAGCAGGCTATCAAGGAGCTCCAAATGGGAGTCCGAAGGCCTGAACCATCTGCTGCATCTGCCCCAACGGTGTCCGTCAATGACGTGGTCCCAACTAATTGGCAGTTTGCTGACCTTAACCCAGAGGAGCTCTTCGGCTTGTCAGAGTTCGTGGACCTATCCCAAGAGAAACTACTCCCACGGTAGGGCCCCACACGAAAATCAATTAAGCTTGTCCCTCGCCGTTTTTTTTTTCGGCTGGCGGGGGCCTTCCTTCCGCCATCTGCGTCCTCTTCCTCCTCCTCCTCCTCCTTCGCATCCTTCCCATTCTTCTTTTCCTCCTGTTCATTCTCGTCCTGCTCGTTGCATTCTTTATCTTCTTGTTCTCCCGCCTCCTCGTTTTCCTCCTCTGCTTTGTCCTCCGCTTTCTCCGCCTTCCACCAGCGGCTCGGAGACAAGGGATAACCCCTGTCCCCGATTCTGCCGAGGATGGGTTACAACCCCCGGCCCGGACACAAGAGGTTACCCCTGCGCCCGATTCGGCCGCCGATGGGTTACCACCGGCGGCCCGGAGACAAGGATTTACCCTTGTCCCCGATTCGGCCGAGGACGGGGTACCACCCCTGGCCCGGACACAAGAGGTTACCCCTGCGCCCGGCCGTTGTCTCGTCGTCGTCGTCGTCGTCGTCGTCGTCGTCGTCAGCTCATCAATCGCCTCATCAATCGCCCTTGTGTCCTACGCTATTTCGGGCACGCGGGCCCATGACAGTAACAAAATTTGCCGACGACCAGCTCATTCACTCACAGACGAGGCTCCCGCCTCATAAGTATTCAGGCATCAGGAGCCCAAAAGTGGCCACAATTACACGGAACTTCATTCACAGAAGAGGCTCCCGCCTCATATCTTCCAAATATTCAGGCCTCAGGAACTAAAAAATGACAGCAGTTTCAGGGTTCCGATGGCCCGGTCGGATTAGTAACATGATCTGCCGTCCACATAGGGAGGCTCGCCTGACATTTCGCCCATATGCAGGCCCACGAGCCCGAAAGTGACGACAGTTAGAAGATTCCGATGACCCGCTCCGATTAGTAACATGATCTGCGGACACCATAAGGAGGAGGTTCCCGCCTGAGACTTTCTCGCAACTCACTCACAGGCGAAACTCCCGCTTTATACTTCCTCCATATTCAGGCTTCAGGAGCCCAAAAGTGACGACGGTTACACGGTTCCGATGACCCGCTCGGATTGGTAACGTGATTAGCTTGAGATTTCCGTACCATTCACTCACTGACGAGGCTCCCGCTTCGTACTCCCAAATGTTCAGGCCTCTGGAACTTAAAAGTGACGACAGTGCTAGGGTTCAGATGACCCGATCGGATTAGTAACGTGATCAGCGGGCCACATCGGGAGGGGGCTCCCGCATGAGACTTCCTCGTACTTCGCTCGCAGAAGAGGCTCCCGCCTCATATTTCCCAAATATTCAGGCCTCAAGAGCCCAAAATTGACGACAGTTTCCGGGTTCCGATGGCCTGCTCGGATTCGTAAAATGATCTGCTTGCCTTGTAGGGACGGGGCTCCCGCCTCAAAATTCTTCGCAATTCACTCACAGACGAAGATCCCGCGTGAGATGAATGAGTGAGTGAATGCGTGCGTGAAGGAATTAAGGTGAGGGTGTTGATGATAATGATGTTGATGATGATGACGATGGTGATGGTGATGCGGATGCTTTGTATGTGAGTGAGTGAGTGGGCGGGTCGCTCGGTGAGTGAGTGGGTGAGTGCGTGAGCGAGTGCTGATGATGAGTGTGTGAGTGTGTGAGTGGGTGAGTGAGTGGGGGAGTGAGAGAGTGAGTGTGAGTGATGGTGTGTGTGATTGACTGAGTGAATGAGTGTGCGGCCAGAGAAGAGGAAAGGGTGTGTTCTTTTGTTCCTGCGCGGGGTGCCCAGAGAAAACAAATATCCCGCTGCGGATGTGGGGAAGAAATGCAGCAACAACTCGCGCAACCAGGCTCGCAACCATGCTCGGTGAAACCACGCGTAATCTAATCGGTACTGATAAAGAATGCGCAGCGCAATTACGTGCCGAGCATGGCTAGCCCAACAATGCTGTACGGAGAGAAGAGAAACGTGGGATATTATGGAGGGGCACAGTTTTGGGGACGTGACAAGGACAAGGAGAAGGATGGACGAGCAGAAGACCAAACAACATGATCAGCAGCAACGGAGCTTGAAGCAGCAGCGGGAGCCTTGTCATCAGGGTCGCCCCAGACGCAGTCTCAGGAATCAGCGCAATCTGCCCTCATATCCATAGTCCAGGAGATCCTCGGGGACAGTCCTAAACCGCCCCACCCGTTTGACAAAGGCGGGGTAAAAGCAAATCAGGTATTTGATGTCCCCCTGGAATGCCAATGTGTCCCCCCGGAAATTCCAGAGGTCAATGTATGAACAAAGTCAAAGGAGAAGGCTTGGTGGTCATCACAGTCAACGGATCGTTTTGGAATGCAGTGGAGTTTGTGTTGCCGCAACTTTCCGTTTCCATTATTCTGGTTCAAGAGCACAGGTTGTTACCGAATCGTTGTTTGCAGGTGAAAGCACCACTCCATTAGAAAGGTTGGCAGCTGTTCGGTGGACCAGCAGGCAAAACAGAGCATGGCAGAGCGTCGGCAGGAGTACTGTTTCTTGTCATATGCCACATGGCAATTCGGGCTTCTGACGCAGGGGTTTTCCCAGGAGCAGGAGCCAGGGCTGCGCGATGCTTTGTGCGTGCTCGCGAGCTGGGTGTGTTCATGGTGGCTACGTGTTACCTACATGTGGGGGAGGCATGGCACCTCGCAACCTCGAGATTATCAGTCTGTTGGGAGAGCAAGCGCTGCAACATCGAACGCTTTTCTTGATTGGGAGAGATTGGGGCAGCTCTCCTGCAACCATCGACGCAGTGCTCCCCCTGAGCTTACAGATCGTCATGCGTGGTGACCCTGGTGCACCAACGTGCGTCTTGGGCGGCTGCGGGTCCATGATTGACTTCTTCCAGATCGGCAAAGGATTGGAGAGGATGGTGGCAGATACGCGTGTTTTGGTGGATGTACCAACTGACCCGCGTAGGCCGGTGCTTCTGCGGACCATACCCTCGTCTGGTGCCGAGTGCCGGAGAGCGCCCAAGCAGCGCCAGCAGCCGCCAGGGATGCGCATTATTGGACCTATGCCAGAGCTTGTAGGCGAAAGACATGCTGACATGAACGGGAAGTCGGACATATTTTTCCACCTTGGGCACGGCGCCCCATGACCAGCAACGTACTCTACGCGGGGAGCTACGTCAGAAGGCAGCAGGTGTTTTGAATGAGGTATGCGACCAATGGAATGACACTGCTTGTGAGGATGTCTCGACGATCACGGGATATGATGCACCTGGGCTGGCAGGTGGTGCTGAACCTGAGTGGGGGATGAAGCCCCCCCGGGAAAGTCTCACTCGCGCGCTCGTGCCACAATCTCGATCCCCAGCGTGCGCTTTCACGGGCTACTCGCCGACTTGGAGAAAACAAGACGCTTTACTTGGAGGGCAAGACTGCGACATGCTGGCATACACTTGTTAAGGACCTGATGGGGGTGAAAAGGGCCCGTTCTGGTGTTGTTGGACGGATGGCGCCATGTTTTGGAATTCGATCCTCAGAAGTGTTGGCAGTCTTATCTACATCAATCATGATTGTGGGCTTGTCTGGTTGCAGGAGGCGTTGAACTTCGCGCATCGCAACCATGGCAAGATCCTGTTGCCCACCCCGAAGATCCATTCTCTAGCATGGAAGCAGCGGTGTGACGAATACATGAACAATGGTGCCGGAGCAGCGCATGGATGTCCAAAGGACCAGCTGGTGCCCCTCATGCCGAAGTTTGAGGGCCACGCGGAGGATTGTCTTGCGCGCGTGTCGCTGGATGCGCGACTTCAACCATAATGTGGTGAGTGGAGCAAAGCATGGAATGTGGCCCATATTGTGAGTGAACCGCAGTGGGGTACTGGGCTTTCTGAGGGTATGCGGCTACCTACGCCAGATGAAACCAGAGACCAGAGCAAGAGGTTCAAATTCCGCGCGTGCCAACCCAGCGGGTGGCATCTCGGACATTACTCTTGATTGGATGATGATGATGCCCAGGCGGTCTTCGGTAATGTGCTTCTTCTCGTGGAAATGGTTGGTGCGGCCCCCCGT